GCAACCAAAATGACATTGCTGCTTCCAAAGTATATGAATTTTCCTCTATGGTACCTAAACTTTATGAATTTAAGCACTGTACTAGATTGGCGGCTAGGTCTCATCATTTTGCACCTGAAATGGTTACCGTAAGTTCTATGCTAAGTGTTTCTTCTATTGAACTTCTTGCTCGTTGACGTTTTTCCCGTCTTCTTGCTTCCCAGTCAACTTTGATCTTCTAGTATTTAAATGCAGTCTCAATAGTTATCGTTTGTTTTCTTAATTCTTGTTCTTTTAATGTCCTCTTTCGTTAATCGTAGTTTTTCTTTCAAATATTCTCTACTGGCTTTATGCCCCACGAGGTCACAAGTCATCGTGACCGAGGGCATGAGTGTGCTGGTGTTTTCAGATTGTTGATCATTGTAAATAACACGCTCTCTCCCAGAAGCTGTAACTAAAGTCTGCTCAGCATAGTTGCAGTATAAACCACAGGTTGGCTCTTAGGGAAGACGGAACACTTGGGGCCGTCGATAGCTGAGCTAGCACGGAGTCACAAGTCATCGTGACCGAGGGTATGAGTGTGTGTGCCAGTGTTGTTCATTTTGTTGATCATTCTAGATAAAACGTTTTCCCCCAGAAATTGTAACTAAGGTCTGGTCAGCATAGTCACAGTATAAACCACGTGGTCTTTGCATTGGACCCCGTCATAGGGAACATTATCAGTTTTTATATTGTGTTTAAATATCTAGAATGGTTCTAAAGGGAGAAAAACTATTTGCTTAACCGATACAATAACATCTCATGAATCTATATATGAAGAGGTGGGTGTGAATTTAAGGTAGTATTAAGCCACAAACAAGACTGTTTTTTTAGTCGAAAAGCAAATATTTCTTTTTATGTGCCGTGTCCCTTCAGGACGTAGGCGATTATGGCTCTCCACTTCCTCCTATCCCTAGTAGCTCTCAATAAGTTCTGTCCCTTTGCTATTTCCCGCAGGTCCTGTTCTGTCATCCTCTTGCTTAACCCCGCTAGGTATGTCATGCATTGCTTTCCTTTGTTTCTCTTTCCCTCTACTCGACCTGTGAGTATCAAATTCTCCAAGCCCTCCTTTCTCATTGCGTGTCCAAGAAATTTCAGCTGCCTGTTGCTGATGTTAAGTATAAGACTCCTCCTTGTTTTCATCGTTGCTGACACGCTCGGTTCATATCCTCAGCATCCTTCTGTAGAACCACATCTCCGTCGCCTTGAGTCTCTTTTTCATCTTTGAGGAGACCGTCCAACATTCGCTCCCGTAAAGGAGGTCAGATGTCACGGAGCAGCTCAGTGCTCTTTTCTTTGTTACCAAAAAAATCCTTCTGTCTCGTAGTACCCTGCTCAGCTTTTGGAATGTGTCCTTGATCATCCCAATACATCTTCGGATCTCAGAGTCACACTTACCGTCCTCTGTCAAAACTCTTCCCAGATATTTAGATTTCCGCATAGCAAAAGACGAAGTGAAAATAATAAAAGTTCAGACGGAAATATCAAGAGAATTACAAGAAAAGTTTTCAAATCTGATGTGGTGATTTTAATAAATCACTTTTTCTTTTCTTTTTTTGGGGGTGCGGATAGAGAGAATAGGAGTGATCTTATACGTCAGGTATTAGCAAACGCTTACAGGTGGAAATAATGATTTATTTCTTATCATAGATTCAGGAACCAAATGGAACAGATGTCTTAATCACCAGTGAGATTCACAGATAGGAACAGGTGCATATCACCAGACAGGTACGGCTAGATATGAACAAACATAGATGGTTTCACAAATACTGATAGATACAGCTATGAACAGACCAAAATATAGATAGATAGATAGATAGATAGATAGATATATAGATAGATATGAACAGACAGAGATAGATATGAACAGATTGAGATAGATATGAACAGACCGAGATAGATATGAACAGATTGAAATAGATATGAACAGACCGAGGCAGATATATATATATATATATATATATATATATATATATAGAGAGAGAGAGAGAGAGAGAGAAAGAGAGAAAGATGGAGAAACATTTATAAACAGACTGAAATAGAAAGATATGAACAGAGTGATATAGATAGATATAAAAAAGCTGAAATAGATATTAGCAGAGTGAAATGGATAGATAGATAGATAGATAGATAGATAGATAGATAGAGAAATAGATAGATATGAGCAGAGTGAAATAGATAGATAGATAGATAGATAGATAGATAGATAGATAAAGAAAAGCCTGACATAGATAGATAGACAGATAGATAGATAGATAGATAGATAGATATGAACAGACTGAGATAGATATAAACAAAATGGAATAGATAGATAGATAGATAGATAGATATGAGCAGAATAAAATAGATAGATAGATAAAGAAAAACTGACATAGATAGATAGATAGATAGATAGATAACCACCCACATTTATTTTCAAGCAAGAACGCTTATCAAATAATCATAATATGTCGAAGATATTTTATTATGCGAATTAAGATTTGGTAAACTTACCATCAGGAGATTATTTTATTTTTCCATGCGTAGAATTGACCAGTTATCTTATTTTCAGTTTTTCGTTATGCAACCAGAATGCATATAGAAGAAAATCATTTTTCTCTTGTAAATTTTCAAGATATTTTTTTTTTAATTTCACGATCCATTATGCCCAGACATGTTCAGTAGGATCTATATGGGGAAAAATGAATTTTTATTGATATACGGCTTGACAAGGAAATCGATTCATACCTTTTTGGACTCAAGTTCTTTTTCTTATATCGAATAAGGTGCTGTTTTCCATACAAAACGCTACTGTTTTTATCCAAATAAACGCCGATGAATATTGCGCGGAATAAATTTGGTTGGTAAGCTGCGAAATAAAAATAAGATGAGAAAAATCGATGGAGTTTTACAATAGGCATAAAGACCAGAAATAATGATTTTTTTTTCAGAAAATATTTATCATATTATTAGAGATTAAGAACACGAGGTGAGGGATAAAAAAAGGGGAAATTAAATTAAACCTTATAAAAGTCAATAGAGGGTCTAGTTTGCAATAAAGATTGGGCGGAGACTGATCCCGCTACGAAAGACAAATTGCAATGTAAAATCTTCGTAAATTGTTCCTTCTATGGGAGTCACGTGTCAAATTAAAATTCTTCGTAAATTGATTCCTCTACTGAAGTTAGTATGCAATGTAAATTCGTTGTAACTTGATCTCTATACGGAAGCCATTACATTGTGTAAATTCGTTGTAAATTAATCCCTCTACGGAAGCCAAGTTGTAATGTAAAATATTCGTAAATTGATCCCTCTACGGAAGTTAGTTGGTAATGTAAATTCGTTGTAACTTGAACTCCATACAGAAGCCAGCTCATTGTGTAAATTCGTTGTAAATTGATCCCTCTACGGTAGCCAAGTTTTAATGTAAAATATTCGTTGTAAATTAATCCCTCTACGGAAGCCAAGTTGTAATGTAAAATATTCGTAAATTGATCCCTCTACGGAAGTTAGTTGGTAATGTAAATTCGTTGTAACTTGAACTCCATACAGAAGCCAGCTCATTGTGTAAATTCGTTGTAAATTGATCCCTCTACGGTAGCCAAGTTTTAATGTAAAATATTCGTTGTAAATTAATCCCTCTACGGAAGTCAGTTGGCAATGTAAATTCGTTATAACTTGATCTCTATACGGAGGTCAGTACACTGTGTGAATTCGTTGTAAACTGATCCCTCTACGGAAGTCAGTTGGCAATGTAAATTCGTTGTAACTTGATCTCCATACGGAAGCCAGCTCATTGTGTAAATTCGTTGTAAATTGATCCCTCTAAGGAAGCCAAGTTTTAATGTAAAATATTAGTAAACTGAATCCTCTACGGATGGCAAAGTTAAATCTTTGTGAACGTGGCAATGAAGATGAGGATAACTGTCCGGATAATGTAAATAATGTAAGTATAAGAGCTTTGGTTAAAATGGTTAAAATAGTCTTGAGCTATAAAAACCTGTTGGTCCTTACAAAACGTAATGTTGTTAATTTGTTGCAAATTGATGCTGCTATGGAAGCCAGTAGATAATGTAAAATCGATATCTCTACAGAAGCCAGTTTTTCATGCAAATTCGTTGTAAAATCATCCTTCTATTGAAATCAGTTGGTAATGATAATAGTTGTTCGGTCAATGAATGCCAAATGTTTCCTTATAAGGAAACGAAAGTCAGTTTGCAATGTTAATTTGTTGTAAATTGATCCCTCTACGAAAGCCAGGTTGTAATATAAATTCATCGTGAATTGATCCCTCTACGGAAGTCAGTTGGCAATGTAAATTCGTTGTAACTTTATCTCGGCTTTTTTTAGATCCAGTGACTAGACCCAAAAATGTTTCCTTATAGGGAAACGGCTAATATTACCATTACCATTACTATTTGAGCAGCCAATTAAATGCTTTAAACCGCATGCATGAGCGTGACTCACTTGAAGGATTTCATTAGGTTTTAGTAGTTGTGATTCTTCTGTCAGCTGTAATGAGATCACCAGTAATTACCATCGATTACATCTTCATTTTATATCGACTTTGAGTAAAATAATGATGTATACTTATTTGTGCCATGTTTCTTCATTCCGGTACAAGCATTGGGACATAATTTCTGTTTACGGATGCTTCTGCGTAGACATAAAAGAAACAGATAAACTACATGCCAGGAAATAGCAGTTTCTAATACATAAATATCGGATGCCTGATTGGAATAAAAAATAGATTTAAGAAAAGCATGGTCTTTGACTGCTTTTGTTGAAACTGTGTCAAAGTTGTTCTGTTTTGAAAGCTAAATCCCGCAGTTGGAGATTCTGTAAAGATCTTTCAAAAGCGGCAAAGCGAAGAAAGCTTCGGCATATTTGTGTTTAAGAGAAAATAAACATTGACTGAAGGATGGGAAGGAAAGAAATTGGTAAGAAAAGAAGATGGGAGGAGAAATGGAGAGAAAGGAAGGTAGAAAAAGAAGGAAAAAGTGTTAGTGAAAAAGTAGATAGAAGCGGGAATAAAGAAAAGGAGAGAAGAGCAGGCAGAGAGAGAGAGAGAGACGAAAGGTAGTAAGAGAGAAAATAACTATACCCGTTTCTAAAGAAAAAAAGAAAGAAAGAAAGAAAGAAAGAAAGAAAAAGGAGAAAAAAGAGATGAAAAATAAAGCAATAGAGAAAGGGAGGAAACAAGAAAGAACAAAAAAGAAAGAAAAAAACGAAGAAAGAAAGAAAGAAAGAAAGAAAGGGAGGAAGAAAGGCCATACAAAAGAAAGAAAGACTGAAAGAGAAGCAGAACAAAGGAAGAACTAAAGAGATGAAGGGAGTAATAAAGAAAAGAAGAAAGAAAGAAAAAAACAGGAGGAAGAAAGAGATGAAGAAAAATAAAGCAAGAGAGAAAGAGACGTTGCAAAAAAGAACAAAAAAGAAAGGAAAAAAAGAAGGAAAAAATGAAAGAGGAAGAGAGAACAAACAAAGAAAGAATAAAAAAGAGGGGGAGGAGCAGAACAAAGGAAGAAATAAAGAAATGAAAGTAATGAAGAAAAAAAGTGGAGAAAGAAAGAGAAAAAGAAAGAAAGAGAAGAAAAAAATAAAGGATGAAATGAAGAGGGGAAGGAAGAAAGCTCGAAAAAGAAATAAAGAAAAATAAAGGAGGTATATAAAAGAGAAATGAATACAGGAAGACGAAAGAAAGAGAGGAAGAAAGAACGAGCAAACGAAAGAAACGCTAAAAGAAAAGAAATAAAAGAAACGTATTTGATGGAAAATGAATAAAAATATATATATATAAAAAGAGAAAAAGAATATGTTTGATTCCAGTCGGAAAGCGCACGCGCGTACATACATAGACACACGCACACACACGCATACACACACGCACACTCACATACATCAGTTCCCTCTAAGTAAGGATATAAAGCCACTACGACGTAAGTGGTTGCTAAGAGCCTAAAAAACATGATTAAGAAGAAAGGACAAGAAATGAACAGTATTCAAAAGGACAGATGACGACGGTTGACGACGCATATTAATTAATGAGGATTGTATTTGACAGGAGAATAAGAAGACGCTAAACAGTTCTGTAGGCGAGGAGAGCGAGAGAAGAAACTATTAGAATAGAACTTACGGTTGCATCTATCAATTTCAACAGTAAAATGGTGAAACCCAGCTGTCAGTATAATACAATGCTTAAATTAATGAAATCGATGTCCCAGAGAGTAAAGTTCGTTAGAAAAATTGGCAAGAAATGATCACGCACACCCATACACACACACACACACACACGCGCGCACACGCACACACACACACACACATATATATATATATATATATATAGCCTACTTTAAAGCGATATTTTTATCATGCATAAACACACAGGCACACACATATATATAGTGATATTCTAAGCGCGGCTTACATGTGGCGCGCGCGCACACATACACACACACACACACACACATATATATATATATGTGTGTGTGTGTGTTTATATATGATAAAAAATGTTGTTTTAAAGTAGTGTATTAGTTAAAATGCTAAATATCAAAGAGTATATGTAAATATAAAAGTGGACACTGAGGCGACAGTCTATTCCATGCTTAATTTTCAGGCTATATATATATATATATATATATGTGTGTGTGTGTGTGTGTGTGTGTGTGTGTGTGTGTATATATATAGATATAGATATGTGTGTGTGTTTATGTATGATAAAAATATAGTTTTAAAGTAGGCTATATTTATTAGTTAAAATGCTAAATATCAAAGATAGAATATATGTAAATATAAAAGTGGATATCGAGGAAACAGTTCATGCTTAATTTTCAGGCCATATATATGGGGAGAAAGTGTGAGTTAGCAAACAGTGACTATTACTACTAATAATGCAAGACTCTTCGGTAAAGCAAATCGAGTTCTGTCAGTCTCTGTGAGTTTATATAAAATAAATAAATTAAATTCCCCTTCATCCATTCTGTGCGCCAACGGTTTAAGGGTAGAATCTCCGACTGATGCCAATACAACCTGGTTTCGATCCTAGTTAGAAGCAACCGGACTGATGAGGTGTGATACAGCAAAACAGTCTGTCTATGGTTGGCATATATATATATATAGTTGTAAAACGAAATCAAAAATTACCATTTAGGAGGTAATTTTGGATTTTATGGTTTGCTACTATTTATTTGTTTTGTATAATAAATATATTGAGCTCATTTTGTGGATAAGTTTTAATATTTTATATTACTAGGATCCACTTGAATTATATACCAACAGTTTTTAAAACTTTTATATATATATATATATATATATATATGAACAGAATGATATATATATATATATATATATATATATATATATATATATATATATATATATATATATATAGAATGATATATATATATATATATAAGAACAGAATGATATATATATATATATATATATATAAGAACAGAATGATATATATATATAAGAACAGATTGATATCTATATATATATATATATATATATATATATATATATATATATAAAAGAACAGAATGATATATATATATATAAGAACAAAATGACACACACACACACACACATATATATATATATATATATATATATATATATATATATATATATATATATATATATATATATATATATATATATATATATATATATATATATATATATATATATATATCTGCATAATGTCATAAAATTGCCCCCAGCATTCATAATTCAAAGGTTAAGTAAATAGTACTAAAAACATGCTAAGCTCGATATTGTTTAACTTCGGTTATCTTACGGGATCTGGTGTTTCATTGTGATATGGCCATAAGCAAACTTATAGCGAAATTACAACTGGATGATACCAACTTTCATCCTGTGATTCTGCGAACTGCCGTATTCTGTGCGATCTGTTTTGACCAAAGACGCTTTTGACAGGGGATTTCCAACAGGATGGTGCACCGCTTCATTTTGCCCCGTATGTTCGCGCTTGTCTCGATTAAAGGTTCCAGAATCGTTGGATAGGTCGCAGCGGATCATTGGCATGGCCGCCACACTCCGCTGATATGAAATCCGGTGACTTCTGGTTATTGTAGGTCTGATGATTTGGATCGTGATTACGATTCCAATGTAATAATCTATAACCTTGGAATATTAGTGTTTGAGTCTTATATATATATATATATATATATATATATATATATATATATATATATATTTCATTTTATGGATTTTTAAATTTTTTAATTGAACAGATTTAAATATTCGAGAAATCAAATTGAACAAAAAATGCACCTTCCGGCAAGACTCGAACCCGTGTACCACTTAACAAAAGAAACCGTCGCTAGATACGCTGCGCCTAAGAGCAGTTCGACCAAAAATGTTATCGAAGATCAGGCAAAGTCGAATAGTGCGTTATAAGAGCAAAACTTCTTCAAAGATTCTCGAATCTTAGTTCAGTTTCGTATCCTAACGTAAACAAAGCAATTTCTAAAGAAGTAATGGATTCTTTTATTTATTAACCCGGCAGATTTTATCACTTAAAAATTTAACATGATTAAGGGGAGGGCAGGCTTGAATCCTACCGGAAGTCACTTTTTTGTTAAATAATATTTCTCAAATATTCAGGCCACTAGACGAATAAATATACTGTTTAATAAATAAATCAAACATCGACTCAAATATGGGTATCCATTAAAAATAATGTTTAAGTGATTATATATATATATATATATATATATATATATATATATATATATATATATATATATATATATATATCAGGCGATGCTAAGTAACCCATAAGGAGTTGCTTACTTACATACGGAATTAATTCTTCAAGAGATGGTAAGTAAGGAGTTACTTACCATGCCCTAAAGAAGTAAAATCAAAGTATTGAAACATGAAAGCTTTTGTGTATCGACTTCAATATGTTTTTATTATAATCTCTTATAATAAAAATAATAATATATTGCTCTACTTTGTCTTGAGCACGTTTTTTAAATGTAAATGCTATTAACAGTGGAATTGTCCCTTCTCTCATTTGTATATATATACTGCACAGTGGTTGATTTTCATTTTACTGAACTCTGTTTATAATTATAATCAATATTTCTGTGAGATTTATTTGGGCTGGAGAAACCCTTAAGCAGCTGACGATTATTGATCATGGTCGAGGTGAAAAAGCCTTGAGAGGGCTTGAAGGTTTTCGTGAATATTTTAAAGGTTAGATTTATAAACACGAACATAACTGATGACTACTGAGTCAGAAACCCTGAAGATGCTGCGTATGAAAGCGATTCCCTGCAATGGACAGTCTTCAGGAACTGAAAGAGAAAGGAACAGAAAAGAAAAGGAAAATTCAAAGTTCAATGCTGTCAAAGATAGCAGGTTTAGGGTTAGTTGCTTGATCTCTGAGGTGATACATGGGGTCTCTTGGTAGAAAATATCAACCCAATACGAAAGAATACACACTAGAGTAGTTAATATTAATAATAGAACCGGGTTTCCTTCACCTCCTTCTTATTCTTCTTTCAACACATAAACAGTCATGGCTCTCCCCAACTATCTTTCTTCTTTTTCATTTTCTTCTCCTGCTTGTTGTTGTTGTTCTTCTTTCAACACATTAATATTCATGGCTCTCCCCAACTATTTTTTCCTCTTCTTTTTCATTTTTTCTTCCTTTTCTTCTTCTTCTTCGTTCACTATATTAACAGTCAAGGCTCTGCCCAACTATCTTTCTTCTTCTTCTTCTTCTTCTTCTTCTTCTTCTTCTTCTTCTTCTTCTTCTTCTTCTTCTTCTTTCAACATATTAACAGCCAAGGCTCTCCCCAACTATCTTTCTTTCTCTTCTTTTTCATTTTTTCTTCTTCCTTCTTCTTTTTTCAACACATTAACAGTCATGTCTCTCCCTAATCTTTCTTCTTCTTCTTCTTCTTCTTCTTCTTCTTCTTCTTCTTCTTCTTCTTCTTCTTCTTCTTCTTTCAACATATTAACAGCCAAGGCTCTCCCCAACTATATTTCTTCCTCTCCTTTTTCATTTTTTCTTCTTCCTTCTTCTTCTTCTTTCAACATATTAACAGTCATGGCTCTCCCCAACTATCTTTCTTCTTCTTCTTCTTCTTCTTCTTCTTCTTCTTCTTCTTCTTCTTCTTTCAACACATTGTCAAAGCTCTCCCCAACTATCTTTTATATCCGCATAATCATCACTTCTCGCCATTTCCCTTTCCATCCATGTCACACAACCCATTCATCATTACCATTTTGATTGTAACACTCTACCTTGATTTGCTCTCGAGCCTTGTATTATGTGAAATTTAATGAAAAATAAAAACTATAACTTGCTTCTTTCTAACACTTCTTGCAAACTCGTTAAGCAGTTTCCGCGGTCTCTACATCCTTCACTATGTCTTGTGAGTGCCAAATTCTCCAAACCCTCTTTTCTTATGTGTTCCAGAAATTTCCGTTGTCTCTTTCTTAGCATCAATTTCCTTGTAATTCATATTCTCCTTAAAACTTTGTCGTTACTCATATGCGTCATCATATGGTTCGACATCTCAAAATTCTTTATGAGGAGATTTTCCAACATTTTCCGCTGTATAGGAGATTAGATATTAAATTGCAGTTCAGCACTGTTTGCTTTTTTTGACAATAAAATTTTATGTTTCTTAATACTTTGCTTAGTTTTTGAAAGGCATCTTTCACTATTGCTATGCACTTTCGGATTTTGATGACACATTTTCCATTATCGGTTATTACACTACAGTGCAATATTTGATTTTAACTTCCCCATTCTGTAGCTCACCACTTGGGCTGTGTCAATTTTGCTGACAACCTCTCAGTCCTTTCATTTTTTTATATTCTTTTTTTTACACTATTTATATACGGAGTGTTGTCCTCATCTTTGCTGTTTTTATCACAACGTTTCGACCATTGTGCTCTTCCTCAGGTCGATCTTGGTAAACTAAAGGGAATTCTTAGGTGAACGCTTTACTTACTCTCGATCCACTGCTTGTCTCCTAGTTCTTATTTTTGTTTAGTAATGTCACCGTCCAGTTCTTATTTTTTTTATTTATCGAATTCACAAAGAATAACGACAAATGTTTTCAAGAATCTCTGATTGGGAAATAGCAACTACACAAATTCTCACTTATCCGTTTATAATTTCCTTCGACTTAACTGCTATCTCCCTAACTGCCACTCTTCCCTGGCAACTGGGCAGCTAGTCACTTGTTACCTACTTAATTCTCTGACTTCTGGGACCCTTTCACCCGGATTTCCTGCCTCTCTCTGCTTATATGAATAATGGCTGGGGTACAATCACCCCTATCCGTCCCTTTGTGTTCCGAAACTATAGACCACCCAAAAGCCAGATGGGTAGTCAAATATTAAAAAAAAAAAAGATTCTACTTTTATGATTATGGAAAATCATTAATAATATTTTATATTTGCCAATTCAAAGGCTGCTGGAGACAAAAATCCCCAAGACACTGACACTTAAGTTGACTCAAAGATTGACTGGAAACGAACTTCCTGAAAGCTTTGGGTACTTAAGTTGACTCAAAGGAAAAGTGATCTATCTAGTTATCCCTTAATAATGAGTGAGAAATCGTATTGTTACAGTAGCCTTGACAAGGTTAAGCTTATTTAGTACGCCTCTCTCTGTCTGTTTTACAAATACTTTCCTGGCATTTGCTCCGAGGAGCTGCATTCGCTGGTTCCCAGACTTCATGAGTTCAAGCGCCCTACGAGGCTGGCATCCCGCTCTGACCCCTTCATTGTCGAAACTCCTAAATGTAGCCGTCTCTTCTACTCCAACAGCTTCATGTCTCGCACCTCTCGCCTGTGGAACACCCTTCCCTATTCCAGTTTCCCTGAGAGCTATAATCTCCAGCTATTCAAATGTAATGTCAATCGACATCTCCAGTTGCCTTGATCTATCCACTACCCTTCTCCTCATCCTTTCTTCTATCACTCTTATCTGATCTTGCTCCAAATTTTCTGTAACCCCTTGCGTCCTAGTGGCTTTCCGTGAAACACTTAAAACACACACACACACACACACACACACACACACACACACACACACACATACACACAAAACATATATCTGTGATTAGCAGGATTTTTATCCCCTATAGTGAATCCCATCATTTGTGAGTGTGCAAGTTTAATAAATATCCAAGTACCTTGACGGTGTTTGAAAATTAAATTTTCAAACAATCGTTATTGTCGCTTGATCGATGCTTTGTTGGTAATTGTAACGATAATATTAGCCTTCACCTTGTAAGGAAACATGCGACATACGTTGACAACCAGTGTTACTGTCATTTGAAACAATTTTTTTTATTAAAACAATCTTTCAGGAAAATATTTTCCTCAAGGCTACTAACTGTTATAGCTCTTTCCAGTATCGATGGCGGTTTCCTTCTTAACTTTTTGTTTGAAGTGGTCTGGAAAGCCAACATCTTGATTATTTCTCTGCAATTTTCATGAAACTTGCAGAGAAATAATCATAAATTTTAGTTGTTACTGTTGTTGAAAGGGACGCGGATTCTATTAGTTCTTTATTCATGATTATCTAGCGCCATTCCACAAGGGTCGAAGGAAGGTGATCCTCTTCAAAACCTACAGGCCTCACTTGCTTAAAGCCATTTTAAATCCTTACCTGAGAAAGTGGTTATATACAGCTAACAGTTTGGAAATTTCTGAACGAGTTTGGTGCCATAACATCTATATCAGACAATGCTATTTAAGTACCTGACACGAGTTTTAAATTAATGTTTTAGTTCTGTGCCAACTTGCGGTATTGTGTGAAACTATTATATGCTCAATTTCCCTAACTCTTCTACTAAAGTTGTTATAACTGATCCATGCACCGATATTGTGTCATATTTATGGTTTTACGTCAATAAACGTCGTTTGGTTTCATATAAGTCCAGTCTGTCCATAACCAGGATTAGAAAAGCTAAACGTAATATTTTGGTTCTGCTTCTATCATTCATGTCATTTCGAGACGTCGGTGATTATGGCTCTCCACAATTTCC